TGGGTGGGTGGATGGGTGAATGGGTGGGTAGGTGAATGGATTGGTGGGTGGATGGGTGAGTGGGTGGATGGATGGGTAAATGGATAGGTGGATAGGTGATGGATGGACAGATAGGTGGGTGGGTGAATCGATGGATGCATGGGTGGATGGATGGATAGGTGGGTGAGTGGATGGATCAGTGAATGGATGGGTGTGGTTGGGTGGGCAGATAGATGGGTGGGTGGACAGGTGGATGGGTGGGTGGACAGGTGGATGGGTGGGTGGGTGGATGGATGGGTAGGTGGGTGGATGGATGGATGATTGGGTGGGTGGGTTGATGGATAGGTGGATGGATTGGTGGGTGAGGTGGGTGGGTGGATAGGTGGATGGATGGACGGATGGGTATGATACATAAAAGTGCGGTTGGGTGGACGGTCACTTGAGCAGGTGGTGAATGAGGGTCTGGAATGTGTGCCTGGCACCTAACGGGTCCTGTTTGGGGTGGGTGCATAAATAGGAGGGGCTGGCAGGTGAAGTGGGGAATCGGGGAGAGGTAGACAGCTCAGGGGCCCTCACTTTCTCCGGATGCGTCTAATGGAGCGTCCCCACAGGACACACGTCCTAGGACTCAGAGAAGTGGTCTTCTCTGGTCACCTAGACTCAGTGGTCTTCGCCTCAGAGCAGAAAGCCTCAGACTGGCCTCAGTGTCTGCCTGGTCCCCAAACCCACCGCCGAACCCTGTGCCTCATTCTCTCATTCACAGGCACCCTCCTGTGCAATGCTCACAGCAGGGGAGAGACACCCTTCACCGTTTCACAGTTCAGGAGCTGAGGCTCTGCCCTGTTGAGGAAGCCAGGCCAGGAATCGGAGTCTGTGCCCAGCAGCTTCCGGTGCCCTTGGTTTGGGATTGAACTGTGTGCTTGGTGGGGCTGGTGGCTTCTGCCGAGGAAAAGCAGTCAGACTTCAGCTGAGGGCCCCGGGCCCACCACCAGACTGTGTGCCCTGACCCTGGACTCCAAGGGCTGGGGCCCCAAGTCCCAAGTGTCTGCTGGTGGGTGTTGCCCAATAGCGCTCTGTTCGCAGTGTCCGAGGCTGACCCCTGCTTCAGCGCTGGGGCTTCCTCAGGACAGCCATTCTTAGAAGTTCCCAGAAGACTGGGCCCTCGCCGGCCAGTGTCTGGGCAGCGGACAGCCCAGGTCGTGCCCTGGAGCCCCCATGAGGCAGGGAGAGAGCAGGAGAAGCCATCCTGGGGTGGGGGTGGAGGTGGAGGCAGCCCCTGAGTGTCCGTCCCTGAGAGCTCCTGCTCAGTCTTCCTTCTGGCTCCACATCAAGGTCCGGTAGGCCAGTCCCCCATATCCAAGCTCTCGGGCCTGGTGTCCGTCCTGTCCCTGGCGGCTCAGGAGGCAGGGTGCTCGAGAGGGCGGCGAGGTCTCAGCACCCCGCCCGCTGCAGGTAAGAGTTCCTGCTCTGCGCCTGCAGAGCCCCGGGGGCCACGGCGGGCAGGGGAGGAGGCCCGTGGACTTCCGCATCCTCACTGGGCGCATGCAATCAGGGTTCAAGTCCTGGGGGCACCAGGCAGGCTGCATTGACCCGAGACGGCTGAGAAAGGCCAGTCTTTCCCTCCTGGTCTCTCTCAGTTGGTCTTCACGTTCCCTGCCCTGTGAGGACCCCCCCCTAGGGTTGCACACTGGGCGTGGCAGGCCAAGGCTGGCCAGTTCTGGTAGAGTGTGTTCTGCACCCACTCTGCTCCTGGTCAGTGCCCAGAAGCAAGGCTTGACGGGCTCTGTGTCCTGAGAGTGGCAGGCAGCGGGGTGCAGCAGAGAGAGGAAGGGCCTTGAGGTCAGACGGCCCAGGTTTAGTGACTGCCCTAGCCTCCCCTCTCCTTGGTCAGGGCCCTTCCCTTCCTGATCCTCAAGCTGGCCGGGCAGGGCCTGTTGCCCTGCGCCTGAGGCCCCGGCCAGGCGTCACATGGTTGGGGGCCTCTGTGATGTCCGACCAAAGGGTGGGACGTGTGTTTGCGAACAGGGCCCATTGACTGCATCGGAAAATGTTTCTCGGTGCCAGGGGTGGGGTGGATGGGGTCTACTTTGCTGGGGTCTATGTGGTAGCCCTGTGTATGATTTTAGGAAGGGTTTAAGGTATAAGAGCCCCTCCCAGGTGTGGTGCCCAGGGAGCTCCCTCTTCTGCCTGGTCCCCCTACCCTTGTCTTGGGAAGAGGAGGCTGGGGGGCCTGAAAGCCTCAGGCGGGTGGCCCTGCTACAGTCAGACTTTCCCTTTCAGGGGCCAGGAGACTGGACGGGGAGGATGAAAGTCTTGACCAAGACCTCCGGAAGGTAGTGATGATGGGCAGACCTCGCTGGGGTGGTGGGTGCCTCTGGGTGACTCTTCAGCCTGTTCTCCTGAGTCTGTTCCTCTTGGCTCCATCCATCCTACACCACCCATCAGCCAACATCCATCCATCCACTCATCCATCCATCCATCCACTAATCCATCCACTCATCCATCCAATCATCTACCCATCAGCCAGCATCCACCCATCCATCCACCTATCCACTCATCCATCCATCCATCCACCCACCCATCCATCCCTCTACTCATCCATCTATCCACTCATCTACCCATCAGCCAACATCCGCCCATGCATTCATCCACTCACCCATCCACCCATCTATCCATCCATCCATCCATCCATCCACTCATCCATCCATCCATCCATCCACCCACCCATCCATCCATCCACTCACCCATCCATCCACTCATCCAACCATCCACTCATCCACCAATCAGCCAGCATCCACCCACCCACCCATCCACCCATCCATCCATCCATCCATCCATCCACTCATCCATCCATCCATCCATCCATCCATCCATCCA